AAATAATTACGCTTGTGACCTCATGCCCTATAAGGTCACTCTGCATCACAGGCCAAAGGAAATCAGGAACCATCAGCATTACCTCCGAGTAGTCACTGCCTGGAATGAAGGGCAAGCGTGGGTATATTTCATAAACTAGCAGGAGCTTGACCTCATAAAAAAGTCAATTATCAAAATGCTACATGTAGAATGTCACAAAAAGAAATATATAAAAGTGGGTTCTACAAAATATCTTCCCTTCAAAGTAAATCTGAGACAACTTCAACATTTCATCTTCATCTGAATTATAACACATTTCACAAAATAACATTAACCCTTCCTTAGTAAAAATAATCAACAGAACTTCTAAAAAGTATTTTGTAACATAAAAGTGATTATAAATACCTGAGAAAGAGTGATAACTCAGAAAACATTTACAATATTTATATAAGTCACTATCACAAGAATGTATGCAATATTTAGAATTCCGGTCCTGTAACCATTAGAGTAAGAATCATAATGCACTTATCCTCAAATTTTCTATCAAAAATGAGGCATCAAAAGTTTACATACAGCCTGCATTTATAAGGGATAAAATGTTTCCTAACACGATCTGGAACAGAACTCCATTACCTGAAGCAAAATTCTCATTATCACCCAACGAGGACTTGGTTTTTATGAAAATTTGTGAACTGGCTTTTCAGTTAAGGCAAACCATTGCTCCTTTTTCCTCCCCAGTGATTTCTGGTCTACTGCCAGAATCTCTTAGCAATATAAATTCAAGTGAATTCTGAGGCAGTGACAATAAGGAGAACAAAACTACAGAAACCAGCACAGCAAAGGAAAGGGGACCGTCAGCCAACGTTCACTACGTGTATAATCCTCTGTGCTGAATGCTGTACAGGAAGTCTCTCCTTTACCGCTCTCTGCAGTCCTAAAAAAACAACTGGCTTCTGGCTCATTGCTTTCCTTAGGTTCTCAAACCTATAAAAGGCTTTTATTACATAATGTACCTAAATAAAATTCCAGAAGACCCCAGTCACTATGACCAGCTGACTTGTCATCTTAGTCCCAGCTCAATTACTTACTGGCTGTGAAGCCAGAGAAAGGTACTTCCCACTTTAAACCTCAGGCTCCAGAGCTGTAATATGAAGGGCTATCACAGCCTATCAGCCTAGTATGACATTCTGCTCTTCAAGCAAATGCATTTTCTGAGTCTCAGACAAACATCTAACAAAGGGACTCTTAGACCAAGCTCAGTCATAACTTAGGAGCTGCCAATACTGCTTGGGTAATTACTACACATTTTAAAATGCTTAGCCTGATTAAATTATAAGAAAATGTCTGATGAATGGTGTATTTACCATAGTGCTTAATATTTTACCTACTTTAATAAGAAGATTCCTATGCTAAAAATAGGTTTTAAGTTCCTAAAAGAACGTTTTATGCTGTTAACTTGCTACGATAATCATCTTCTCAAACATTAATGATCATCGTAGAGGCGACTGCACTACAAGCACGTTATGGCAGGTGTGGCCTGTCCACCAGCTGGCTCCATAACCTTTTGATCCCTTTGGACAGCAAATCTGTTCAACAGCCCTATGTGGTCATTTCTCATTTGTTGTATGCTTTCTTCTCCTTTCACACATTCAGAACCCTTACTCCTTCAGCTTGACATTCTTTTATTTAAATAGAAAGCTCCCAGTAAAGCAAACTAATTTTACACTCAGACAACGTTAAAGTTCCAGAACAGATTACTATATTATAGAAAGAGTTGTTAGTGTGAGCTATTTTAGTTATATGTAGACTGCATGTTTATTCTTTCACTAAAAATACAATAATAGGAAGTGATAAGATTAAAATTTTAAGTAAGCCAGTATTCAGTTAATTTATAAGGAACTCCAGGATACTATAACTAACTAAAAGGACTTTAATTTACATAAATAGAAAGGTTAAATCTGACCTAAGAACAACCTAGTTTATGCTTATTTATTTATTTTTAAGATTTTATTTATTTATTTGACCGAGAGACAGCGAGAGAGGGAATACAAGCTGGGGGAGTGGGAGAGGGAGAAGCAGGCTTCCCGCCGAGCAGGGAACCCAACTCCACGCGGGGCTCGATCCGAGGACCCTGGGATCATGACCTGAGCCAAAGGCAGACACTTGACGACTGAGCCACCCAGGCACCCCTAGTTTATGCTTATTTAAACAATGACGAGAACCATTTTCTTACAATTAGGAGTTATTTTCTTACACGTTTCTGCTCCAATTTATTGTTGTTGTTAATATGGCTAGAAATGACATTGTGTGAAAGCAGGATTAGCTCAAATATCTACTCATTCCTCTACCCTGAACACCATTTTAAGATCTAAGGATGCTGGAGGAAGCAAGACAGAATAAATGGTGGTTAAGAAAATCAGTTTTGTAGTCTTGACAGTCACTTAGTAACTGAGGGACCTTAAGAACGTTCCTTAATGTCTCTCGGCCTCAACTCACTCATCTGGGGGAAAAAAAGTGGGGGGTGGTAGTGACAGCAGTGCCTACTTTACAGGCTTATTTCAGTGGCTCAATGAAATAACACAGACCAGGCACTTAGCAAAAGCCTGACAGAGAGTGTTCAATTAATGGTACGTATTGTCATTATTTTACTCATACTGTATCCTCTCTGGGCCCTCTAATAGGCCTCTCACCTAGCAACATATACATTTTCATCATTGCTTCGGGGAGTAATTTGAGACCATATTACACCTTTATCTTGTAGCTAACTCATTCCCTTCTTTCCAGGAAAAAATAAAATAAAATGGCATTCACCACCATTGCTAATACCTTTCTTCCCAAACTGTCAAGAATACAACGCTGTATGCGTCTTCGGTGTTTTCCTTAGACCTTGATATGTAATCTGTCACCAAGCCTTAGAAATACCTTTTATTCGACTCTATCTACATTTAGATCTGGGTCCCCTATCCCCTCTGTAGTAGCTTCTCAGCTACATATTCTACTTTAGTCCACTCTCCCAATGTAGTCCATTCCAAATAAAGGTGTCCTGAAACAGTTTCTCATACTTTCACAGCAGCATTGTCCTTTCAAAAGGATCTCCAGTGATTTGCTAGTTTCGCCTTCAACTTAGGTTTGTCCTTTAATTGGAGTATCTTGCTTCCTCCAGCATCCTTAGATCTTAAAATGGTGTTGGGGGCAGAGGAATGAGTAGATATTTGAGCCAATCCTGCTTTCACACAATGTCATCTTGTAGTTTGTCTTTAAATTGGGGCATCTTTTATTCAATAAGGTTTATGATGAGCTGATGAGCTAATTCTGTTTTTCAGAATATTATGAAGCTAATAGTCACAAGTGACTGAACAAATAGGACTGTTCAGGGTTCTTCAAATGCTCAAAAGCAAAGCTTTTTTCATCCTAGTCTTATTCTTCTAAACATTTTTTTACATTGTAGAAGATATTAAAACCTATGCATATTTAAGTAAGAACTTTAAGCCTAATACTTTCAAAGAGTCCATATGTTTAAAGAGTCTGGTTTTTCAATTTCCTTTTATTAAAATGGAAAAATTCCCAGTAAGCAAATGAAAGTCAATATTATCTCAGTAAATTCTGTTACCCAAACAGATTAAAGAATTTTAATTAGAGTTGTTAATATGGTTATATGTAAAACACATATTTGCATTTTTATAGATTATGAATGTATTTAATATACAGTGCTTATCACAGCCTAGGCATTGTTCCATGTGCTTACCAAAGATTACCTCATTCCAAACTCAGAATAACCCTATAGTCTCACTATCATCTTCATTTCATCTGTGACAAAAGTGAGGCTGAGAAAGGTTAAATATCCAAGGTCACATACCTAAAAACAACCACTAGAGTCACCATTGACAAACATCTGGTAGACTTACACCAGGTATAACAATTATAGCCCTTTTTTTTTTTCTTTAAAGATTTTATTTGACAGAGAGAGACACAGCGAGAGACGGAGCACAAGCAGGGGTAGTGGGAGAGGGAGAAGCAGGCTTCCCGCGGAGCAGGGAGCCCGATGCGGGGCTCGATCCCAGGACCCTGGGACCATGACCTGAGCTGAAGGCAGATGCTTGACGAGTGGGCCACCCAGGCGCCCCTACAGTCCTTTTAGAATCTTGTTTTCATATCCTTCTTATACAATCATGTGTTGTCTGTCTTGACATGTATAGTGAGTATCTTATTACTAAAAATTTGGTATTGGCAAAAAACATTTAAGATGAATCCATCTAAAACCTAGGCCAAATTTTCATAGTAAAAAGTTCTAAGTTTCATTGAGAATTTAACTTAAAAAGTAAAACTGATTTTATCTTATACTCAATATAAGAGTTTAAAACTTTAACTCTGAATTCTTCTTTAGAAGAATAAATAACCAATCAAATGATGAATTGGGGATGAAGTATACTTTTCTAAAAAGAAAAAAACTACAAGAGCATAATACAACTTTTCTTCAATGACCACTTGATCTAACAGCAGAATCACAAAGGTTTGATTCTGCAAAAAATATTCAAGCTCTTCAACAATTTTTCCCAAGGCCTTTCCCAACCCATTCAAATTATTCTTTTGAAAGATCTGTCCATCAAAATCCTTGCTAATTTTCTTTTCCATTAGTACACTGGTCTAACTTTACCTGGTCTTTACTTCTTAAGGATTTACAATTCCAACTTAGAAAGGATCTGCACTTGCACATCATCAGATCGCTATCTACAAGTTGGCATCCGCAAACATAATTCTGCAACAGAGACAGACGCTACTGCTAAACAGAGTAGGATTTTTGATTGCGGATTAATTTTACAAGAGGTCAGTCCATCAGAGATATATTCTTTTAAACCAAACTCCAAACTCCCATAGGGATTCGGAAAATGAATGCGTAGAATTCGAAGATCCCTTATTTTCACTTTAAATGACTCACTTTTGTTGAGAGGCAGTAATGAGCATATCTGTGAGTTTTAGAACTTCTGTATGTAAACATGAAAAGTTTTGTAGAGAATTCTTACGTGATATGACATGGTCCATGTACTGAGGTAAATAAGGGGCCCAGGCATCGATGGCTTCCTTCCGCCCCGCCTGCTCAATTCTTCGCAGTTCAGCTAGAAGCAGGGCCTGCGCAGCTTCTCGGACCTGAGAAGGAAATGGAGCCAAATGAAACAACAGGAAGCAGGTCAGTTGGTGAGGTGTTTAAAAACTAGAAAGTTCATCATGAAATAAAGCTAGGAAATATACAAGCCACATTTATTTACAAGAGAAAAACCACAAACCAAATGAATTAAGTACTGAATAAATTGGATGTGAGCAAAATCAAAGACAATTTAATGAATGATCTCACCGAAAAATATTTTAACACTAATAGAATTATATTTGTACATTTATGCAGCAATGGGTTTAAAATTTCATTCTCCAAAGCTTTTTAAAAATATAACATTCTTGAGCTTTAATTTTCACTTTAAAATTTCCATATAATTGTTAGTGTTAAAAGTCACTGTTAGAACTGTTAAACTTGTCTTCTCTTTTAGCCTGAAGAAATTTAACCTTATCTAGTGAATTTCTTTATATTTATATACTAAGTAGGTATTGTTTGCACAAATATATGTGTAAATCTGCACAATTCCTGTATACCTAAGACACGTTTAAACAACTTTCTTCAACAAATGGCAAAATATATTCCTGTGTAATGGCATTAATTCTACAGAATTAATTCTACAGAATTTGTCCTTCAATGCGGTACATATTTATTTTGCAGTTTTAGTTGAGTTTTATTTTGGCAAATTACCACAAGCATGGGGTTAACAAAGCTATTCAATTGTCAAGTGGTATATCAATTTACTAACTCTTTATCACTGAAAAGGTAACTCAGCAATGTCTGATAAGAGTTTGAATAAAAATTGTTTTTAATTATAACTTTTGAAGTGAATTCAAATACTACTTAATGCAAAACCATGAAAATTTTAGTATGCTACAATTCCACTTAGAATTGAGGGAAGGGAAACCAGATGGGGGAAATATTTATATTTGATAAATTTAAAATCTTAAATGATACAAACTGCTATAGCTAGATAGGTCAAATGCCATAGTAAAGGAAATCTCTATCTATAAAACATTTCAAAGTCCCTGGTGATATTATATTCCAAGCGATGTCTAATACAGCATAAGTCCATTAACACAAAATAATAGCTACCATTTATTGAGCTCCTACCCTGTGTCAGGCTCTGTACTGTTTTACTTGCATTATCTGATTTGATCCTCACAGCAATCCCATGAGGAATATAGTATTATCCCCACTTTACAAATGAGCTTCAAACAGGTTAAGTAAATTGTCCAGGGTCACAAAGTTAATAATTGGCAAAACTGATATTTAAAACCGGGTCTCTTCGAATTCCAAAGACTTTCTTTTATTATAACACAGTATCTTCCACTGGACAAGGGCTATTCACTTAGAATGTGACTGATGTGATTATATCTCAGTGTGTGATTTTTAGGGGAGGTGGGTGTATGTATGTGAGCATGCATGTATGTTAAGCTATACAGAATAATCTCTATAGAAACCAACACTCAAAGAAACAGTTCCATAAAGTATATGAAACTTTTGGTCAAATACTCACTGGATTAAAAAGTGAACACGCAAGCTGGAACATTACTGTTCAGTATATAGACTGAAAAAAAGTCATGAATCCATATTTTCTATCACAAAATAAACAGGTGAAAAGAAATTAGATAAATATTAACCATTTCATTTCAAATTTACACTTGTCTACTGCTTTCCTGTTTTTGTTTTCTATCCATAGCACATCAATGTTACCTCCAAGCATCGGTCTTGCCATCTCCGAGCCAGCATCTCTAGGAGCGGAGGCCTAAATTTATCCAGTCCCAGCAGGTCTGGTAGCATCACGCAATGCATAGCAGCCAACTGGCTCCATCCTGTTAAAAAGTAACATATTACAAATACTTTAGCACTTTGGCATTCCCTAATTCAAAGATATTTCTTTAAATATTACACCAAAAATTAAAAAGGGCAAATGTGCTAAATTATGTTATGATTTCAATTTACTATTTTATACAAATAATTATATCAAACGTAGTTTATCTCTAAATCAGGTAGTTGATACTTATGAGAATTCTCAAAGTCTTAGATAAAAATAAACTTCCACATGAAGTATATATAAATTCTACAAGGAAAACATATTTCTAAACAGCCCCTCTAAAAGAAAACATATTCAGGATTGAGAAAACGTAGAAATAAACATGTACTAGAGTTGCAGACTTGATACCACTTTCAGTTAAAAGGGCATTCACACAGATATCCAAAGATAAGTTCATGTCTCTGAAGGCCTGGCCATCTGTGTATGACCACCTTTGTCGGTCAAGAGAGATTTCTTCTCTTGTCTGTCACAGGGCTTTTAATTAATACTTATTGATCTCTTATCTTACAAAATGAATCAGATATTTAATCACAATCATAACTGAGTAAGTAATATAACATCAATTTTGAGAGGAAAAATGAATTCAGACATTTTATCAAATAAAAACCAGATAATCCAAAATTGACAACATCTTAAGTATCATTAACTTTAATCTATGGGAATAAAAGTTATTTTTTCCAGAATTCTAGTCCATAACATGAAACTTGATTATATGAAGAAAAAAAACACTGCAAGCCACTGCAGTATCTAAAAGTAACGATATCCAGACATTCTCAAGTAAGCATTTCAACCCTGTTTTAAAGGTGTCTGAAAAATATATACACAATAAATGCCTCAGTCTTCCCAAATCATGTATGAAGCCACTATTAATCCACAATAATTACCATTACCCTCTGAGGATAACACTTAAAGACAAATAATCAAGAATTAATGCAAAAAAACAACTATCTACTACCATATAGAAGGTGAATTGTCTGTGATCACAGAATTTTAACAAATCAATGTTTTGAAATACTCGAAACTGCAGTTTTCTAAAACAACAAGAACCCTATTATAAAATTCAAAATAATTACTGGGATTACTTAAAAAAAGAGAGAGAGAAAGAGAGAATAAGTAACACATAAGCCACCTATCTAAAGATTCATCCTTTCGTAAGGAAATTCTCATTAACTGAGAATATATAATTAAATAAGGTGATGAGCACACACATTTTAGATTCCAATTTATTTTCAATAGAGGATATATATACATATATAGAGGATATATATACATACATATACACAACAAATATATACGTAAATATAAATTACAACCTAACAACTTCTTGAAGTGCTTCAATGTCTCATAAAAGTATGAAGTGTATTTATGAGCTGAATTTTAATAGGATAGTGATTCTCACCATGGTCCAAAGTCAAGAGCTTTTTTTTTTTTTGAAATAACAAATTACTATCTTTCACAATAGCTTAACAAATTCGACCTTAATTATTTTTGCTAGAATCCAGTCTTAGCATACTAACCTTAGCACATGCCTATGACAGGGAAGCCAAACAAAAAATGAGTTATACTTTTGTGCTCCCATGTTTTCTTTACAAATGAGTGGTACTTTGAACATGGGCTCTGTACTTTACAGATACTGTAGCATTCTCTCCATTTGAATGGACTGGTAATACTGCTTTTTAGTGAAGAGTCAGAATCAATCTGGATTACATTTGAGACTTTGTAAATTTCCTCCTTTTTATATTATACATACTGGTGAAGACAGAGCCCACAATGAAGACAGTGAATATAACTCAGAGCTCACAAGTTCCGTTAGGCTTCCAGGCAGTATAAATAATCCCATAATGGCTCTTGGGGAAAAAAGGTTCGTGGATTCCATTCACATTTTCAGAGTTCCAAAAATACTCTCAACTAGTGTAACTCCACAGGGATAATATGATAGCCTAACTACATCTTAAATATTGAAATTATGGATTTTTGTCTCATCCAGAAACAGAAATAGTAAGGAGGATAAACAGGTGACTTCCTCTCAGTTTATAACCATTGGTGCTAATCAACATTCTGAAGACTTCTCTAATGATAATGTAAACAGACCCCTCACATCTCCCTCTAACCTCAGAGTAATGATACATGCAAAATAGATTCATTAGTTCTAACACCAGAGATCACATGGCAAACATCATTATGAAAACCAAACCACCTTTTAATACCTACTTCACATCAAAGATTAGCATCTTTGCACTTCTTTAATGGCATTCTAGTTACAAGAAACGCAGTTTACACCAGCCAGGAGCAGCATTACATTTTCAAAACTGGCCCTTATCATTGACATTAGCAAGTAAAGTTAAAAAATGGAAAATTTAGGATCTCATATATAACAAAGCAGATAAATGTATAAACTGGATAAAAAGAACATGTCATATCAGAATAAAGCACAGACTGAAAGGGAGTTGTTTAGAAAGTTGAGAAAGAATACCTTCATTTACTAAGAAACAGGTATGTAAAGCAGGAGTAGAAGCAGGGTCAGAGCCAGAGTGGTCAGCATCAGACCGAGCGGAAATGACAGGAGCAGGAACTTGCAGAGAAAACAGAAGAAATAAAGAGGAGAGAATTGAGGTACAGCGGCTTCTGAAAAAAAGTTCAGTATTAGTGAAGAATGAAAAGCAAAGTTGGCAAAATATAGTAAATGGAGAACTGAAAAATGATGTTTTCATCAGGAGGGCATGATCGTTGAGGATTACGGCAGGGAAATGATATATTTTATTGAATAGTCATCACAGTGTAGTTCAAATTCCTCTTAAAACCAAAATCTATTTAATACTCTAATTTATCAATGTACTAATTAATACAAAAACAGTTCTAAAACAAGGCTACAAAGAAAAAATGACAGACATATTAAGAATTAGCAAAAATGTAATTCAATTTTTAAAATGTATCACATACTGAAAAGTTTAAGTTGATCTTCATATTGCCAATTACATTTTTCTAATAATTTATTTCCTAACCTTATGTGTAAATTTTTTATCTCAAACCAACATCCACTGAGATCACTTCAATTTTCCACTCATTTTATAAAAATAAATTTAAAATCTGCCAACTTATAAAGAATATATATACCAAACAACTTTTGTGAGAAGAACCCTAACATAGCTTCATTTTTAATTTAAAAAATATTTTTATGATACCCATATTTTATATTATAAAATTATTGTGAATGTTCTAATCCTCATAAAATACATGCAACAACCCCACCCCCCAAAAAGTTATGTTACCAGGAAAATGTTTCAGCTTAAATTATCATATGAAAAGGCAAAAAGACCGTATGGTACACACATTCTACAACTGGAGGTCAATGTTAAGATTTAGAGGTCACCATTTGACACTTCCTTCCTATGGAGAAATTACCATATGTCATGCACAAGCATCTTCAAATTAATCCCTCTCCTTTCTTCTGTCATTGAACAGCAATAGGTTTGGGCTCCTGAACAGATTAAGCATTGTCCACTGAATGATATGTTTGTTTTTCATGCAGTGAAGTTCCTTTGTAACTACAGGACAGCTGCATGAAAACAACTTTTCATAATTTCCACACGAATGCATCATAATGTCAATCAGGCACGTGTGAGGTAGTAACCAGTAGAACTAAAAGTACATGAACAGTAATAAAAAAACAGAAAATCCAATTCCATACACCCTAAGAAGCACATCCTATAACCATGAAAGTCTCATTTGGGAAATTATAATTGCTTTTATTATCACAGACCTGTTTTTTTATTCCTTATGAAATTATAATAATTTTATAATGTTATGTTTATGAACAAAACAGAGCTTTTCTTAACTGCACATTTCCTAAGATATAAGAATTCTTCTGTAATCTTGCAAAAAAATCTCAAATATTTTTGTTCCATTGAATAAATTTTTCATTTAAAAATTTTTTAATTACAAATTCAATTATTATGGCCTATCAAATATTTGCTTCCTCATGCAAAAAGTTGGCGAGCATGGATGGCAGAGAGTAAATTTTCAGGTTTTAGCTTTCATGCCACCAAAATTGTTCACAAAGTTCCTCTAGTGGTTTCCAACAACTGGGACACTTCTATAATTTCACTTTAAAAAAAAAAAGAAGAAATTATTATCATCCCTGAAAAGGCTGTGGTATCTGATTTTACTCTTAAGTGAGAGGACAGCAGAGTGAGAGGTGAGGAAATTAAATACAAATGAGTAAAAGTTCAGGACTGAGTGATCATTACCCTAGCCAGGTCAAGTAAGTAGTGGGATTAAACTCCATCTCTGTAAGTCACAAACATAAAGGAAACTAAAAATGCTGAGAAAAGTGCTAGAATAAGCATAATAGGTCTTAACAGAATAATGTTTAATATATGTAAGTTTATTTTAATGAGAGAAATAACAGACTCTTTTTTGGAGTCCTGTTTAAATGACAGTATATAAAGAAAAAGCCATTTACATTTTCCTTTAATAAATTCTGTCAGCACACACACAAAAAATCAAGAATACTATAAGAGAGATCAAGGAATCAGATTTAGTATGCTTTAAAAATCTTGGCATCACCACCAAAAAATACTTCATTCAGACTACCTCACAGCTGAGACTGCAGAATCTAGAACTACTTTTTCTAATTGAGAATATTCAAATTAACTCTGCTTGAGCTTTTAAAACTGTCCACATGTAGAAAAATCAGCAAAAGAAATTTTAAAAAGTACCACCCCCAAAACAAAAAGCTCAAGGTTTAACGACAATAATAAATCTGAAAGAAGTCATATGTAGCACTGAATACTGACAATTTATAGCATAGAGCATAAGCAAGCATTTGGTTTCTTAAAACAAAAAAGCTGCGATGTCAATTATCAATTGGCTTCTCTTATCAAGGATTAGTAAAACCTAAGGGCAAAAGTCTCAGCATAGCTTCAAGTGATAACAGAGGTGGCACAAGTTCTATTATTCTACCTAGGAATGAAGGGGGGGACATCGAGGGGGAGATGAACCATGAGAGACTATGGACTCTGAGAAACAAACTGAGGGTTCTAGAGGGGAGGGGGGGTGGGAGGATGGGTTAGCCTGGTGATGGGTATTAAAGAGGGCACGCTCCGCATGGAGCACTGGGTGTTATAAACAAAGAATGAATCATGGAACACTACATCAAAAACTAATGATGTAATGTATGGTGATTAACATAACAATAAAAAATAAAAAAAATTTGCAGCTAAGAGCCTCTTCAACTACTTACTATCACATGAAAAGACAGGCAAAGATAAACAAACTGTGTGACAACATACACACCCACACATATGCTCTGGCCTCCCGTTAAATAGCATCTACATAGCACTCAATGTTACAACGTCCTTGGTTTTCAGTTTTTGAATAGGTCTATTTCAGTCTTCATTTGAAATCTGACTCTGAACTCCATTGTTTCCTACTGTCATTGTGACTTGATAAATATATAAGGGACAGAAAGTGAACATACTTTAGGTAGCAAGTTATTGTTCTAAACCTCATTAGCCTCCTGGTACATAAACACAAATAGCCCTTTCAATACATTTTTCAATAAAGAAAATCTAGAAAGTTTTCTGTAAAACCAAATGCAATGCATAAAGAAGTTTTTCCAAAGCTTAACACTAATAAATAAAATTATTTAATAATGAATCACTTTATCTAAAGTGTTACAGGATAATCAAAAAGCTTCGAGAGGGGAGGATAGAGAAGGAGGCATTCCACACTAGGTCTGCCATTCAATGTAGAGATCTTAGAGCAACATCTGTCTTTTTATAAATTTCCTTTATGTCTACACTTTCATGTCTTAGGGAGCTGAGCATTCTCATCATCTTTAAGTCCATCTTTAAGTCAACATATAGCATTAGGATAAATCATCAATCAAACATTCTAAGGAAAAAGGATATCCTTAAAATGCTACGAAGGAAGAGCACAAAAAGTCTAAGGGCAATAGGGAAGTACGAGGTTCCAGGAAATAGAAAGGACAAGAACCTACCATAAAGCAGAATGAATTAACAGCCCAAGATAGTGTTCTGACAGATATAGATCAAGGCAAAATACAAAAGTGCTAATAATGTTTGAAAAATACAGTAACTCTACTTAACCTCCAGATCACCACTGGATTTCATCAGAATTGGAATAAGTTGAGATGTAATGATAATTTTACCTTGGGCTATAACTCCAGCCAGAGTCCAAAAAATAAAAATTTAAAAAATCTAAAAAATCCCGCTTCTGTAAAAGGTCTTCTTCATTACTAACATCTAAAATAAATAAGCGAGCTAAGACCAAGCACCATGGAGGGAGAATTTATTACAGTGAAAGATAAAGTGATAACATGAACACTAACTTGAATTAGACATATGGAGGCTATTCAAATTTTCTATTTCATTTAATTAACAATAAGCATCTACTATGTGCCAGATGTTGGGCTAAGCATATAAAAAGTCATAAAGATTAGACAAAGATGTTGTTCTCAGTTACTCAGAGTCTGGCAGGAAAAGCAAATAACTAATTAAAGTATTATCATCAACTGCACTCTCCTCTGGATCTCCTCCACTGGACATAAGTTCCTTGAAGGCAGAGATTTGTTTTGTCAGCCTTGAAGACTCAGCACCTAGTTACTGACATATTGACACTAGAAGCATAAAGAGAAGGTATCTATAGATTCATTCATCCAAATATTTACTGAGTGCTTTCTATGTTTCAGCTACTGTCCCAAGAACTTGTGTGAAATCAGTGAATAAAAAAGAACAAATAGAACAAATGTCTGCCCTTTGAGCTTCCAAAGACCAAAGTCATTAAGCCAATTTTTAAAATAAAAGGCATATAAGTTCAAACACAAAATTTTAAGGAGTCTTGAGTTCCATCCATTGACCTGATATATGTACTCCATATTTCTTGCTATAGACCCTGGAAAAGGATGGTGAGAAACTATTGATTAATTTATATAAATGATTCCTGAAATAATTTAACAATGACTACCTCCTACGTTTAAATTTAGACAACCTAAATTAAATCCATTTCTGAAAAATAAAATAGCAGATACTGTAACATAATCTTATATATTTAAATTGCTTAGACTGGCTTCCACATCTACCACTGAGTAAAGATGCAACTACTAACATAGAAATAGGGTCACAATCAAGATAGGCACTAGAGACACAGACCAAGACTTATGCCATAACATTATTGAACTGATCAAGAGAAGTACAGTATGTCAGAATGTAGATAAGCCTACAGCTATGGGCAGATTTAGGGTTGTATAACTATGAACAAAAATTTAGTTTGACATTTCTGATCCTTTCTCAAGTGAGATGTTTTATAAAGTACACAATCGAGTATCTAATAAATAAAAACTGTCTCTATCAAAAAGTACGACTGTCAGTAAATGTTAATGATTGGCAAAGACTGAATTAACAAGCCCACTGCTAGACAAAATAAAGCTCTTCTGAAGAAATTATTTTCCAATGAAATACCCTGATAACGTCTATGAGAAATTATGTTAGCTGAACTATCTATATCATCTTTATTCTTAGACCCAAATGTCTATGAAAGGTCCAATCCCCA